ACTTTAGTGTAAGTGTTTATTTATCATGTGATCTTTAAGATGTTGCTTGCGTTTAAATTTCATATGACACCACTCGCATTCAAAGTTCCGTCCTTTACCACAATCAAGTGCCATATGACATCTGAGACTACGCATGTTTTTGTAAAACTTTTCACATTTTGGGCAGATAACAGGGCACTCACCTGCAATATGAAATAAAATAATTTGTAACAAAAAGCTAAAAAATCCTAAAACAGGAACTAAAAAAATAAAACAAAAAAACATTTTTTAATGTTTATTTATCATATGTTCTTTAAGGTCATGTTTACGTTTATATTTCGCTGAACACACAGTACATTTGAATCGGTATCCTTTACCACAATCTTGTGAGCGATGTGCTGCCAAGGTATTGTAATTCTTATACCATTTATAACATCCTGTGCAAAATGCGCCACCTACAATTACAAATCAAGTAAAAACGTGTTGGTAGAATTCATTTACAAATAATTAAGCAAAACAATAAAAAATCAATAAAAAACACGATTTGTTGTTTATTTTCTCTTAAATTCATGTACAGAAAACAGATGCATCTTCAAACTATATTTTCTTGTGAATTTATTCGAACATAGAGAACACTGATACTGAGCACCTTTTCCACAGTCCTGTGATCGATGTGCCGACAAGCTTGATGAATTTTTATAGAATTTTTTACATCCTGGACAACACATTCCACCTACAACCAAATGTGGAAGCTAATTAAAAAATCACAAGTGAAATCATACAATACTTTCAAAAACATTCAATCAAGCACTTCAAACAAGGTATACAAAAATAAAATAAAAGTATTTCTAGAGTCTTTATTTCCTCAGGTTTTGTGTACAGATATAAAGTGCGTCTTGAGGTTGTACTTTCTTTTAAACCTGCTGTAACAGATTGAACATTGAAACTTGGCGACTTTTCCACAGTCTTGCGACATATGTGAAGTGAGGCAATGCTGGTTTTTATACCATTTGCCACATTTTGGACAAGGTAAAGGACCATGCGAAACATCTAAAACAAGTAAAAAAAATAACTAAATAAAAGATTATTAAATGTGAAAACTCTTACGCACACAGGTGGAGAAAAATACAAAAATATAAAACAAAAAATTATTTATTTAAAAAATTATTAAATAAGTATGTATTATTAACCTTTAAAAGTTTTTTTTAATTGCTTTCCTGAAATGAATCATTGTGTGTGTCTTAAGTTGTTGTCTTCGCTTGAACTGCAAGGTGCAATACTGGCACTGAAACCTTTTGGCTTTACCACAATCCTGGTACATGTGAGCTTTGAGACAATTTTGGTTTTTGTAGAATTTGTAACATTGAGGGCACTGCACTCCTAGAATAATTAAAACACAAATTTTACAAATAAAAATAATAATAAAAGATTGTTAAATCATGTGAAAACTCTTACGCACAGAGATAAAAAAAACACAAAAATATAAAACAAAAAATCATTTATTAAAAAATTATTAAATATGTAGTACTTATTATTAGGAAAACCTTTAAAAGTTTTTTTTAATTGTTTTTCTGAAATGAATCATTGTATGTGTCTTAAGTTGTTGTCTTCGCTTGAACTGCAGGGTGCAATACTGACATTGAAACCTTTTAGCTTTACCACAATCCTGGTACATGTGAGCATTGAGGCAATTTTGGTTTTTGTAGAATTTGTAACACTGAGGACACTGCACTCCTAAAATAATTAAAACACAAATTTTACAAATTACATTAATACATATAAGGTAAGAAGAAATTGAGAAAACAATAAGTCAATAAATACAAAAAAAATCCTTTAATTTATACAAAAAATACATTATTCAAGAAGTCTCTTCTTCACATGAATAAAACTGATGTGATCCTTCAAGTGTTGCTTTCGTTTAAATTGAGTAGAACACAAATGACATTCAAAGTGTTTCTCTTTTCCACAATCTTTAGATAAATGAGATTGAAGACTCTTTTTATTCTTGTAGATTTTTCCACATTTGGTACATGGTACCCCTGCACCTGAAATAGGATATTAAAAAATTATCTAATGCCAGTGGCGCGAAATTACTGTAAAAAAAAAAGTTTTATTTTTTTTTTATTATCACAATAGTTAAAAGCGACATTAAAGCTTAAGTCGAAATTACAAATTTAATGAATAGCATACGAGGTAAATACTGGTTTCTTAACAATTTTAAGAATTCTTCCGTGTTTTCGCACATAGTGACTACGTAGATGTTCCTTTCTACGAAACTCCTCGGTACACAAATCGCATGAAAACTCTTTATTTTTGCCACAATCCCTCGACAAATGTGTCGATAAAGAATTTCTATTTTTGTAAAACTTGCCACATTTCGGACAAGGAAGTCTTATATCTGAAAAAAGAAGAAAGTCACAAAGTTACAATAAAACCTATTAACAAATACATAAACAAAATCACATCTTATCAATCAGTTCGATGTAAGATGTATCATCGGAAATGTTTCCGTGTTGTCGTAAAATATGTTTCTTTAGATCATATTTTCTCTTAGAGGCAATTGAGCAGAAAGGACATTTATATTTAGCTGATTTGCCACAGTCTTGGTGCTGATGACTGAATAAAGAATTGATGTTTTTGTACGACTTGTTACACTTGACACAAGTAACTCTGCCATCTGAAACAATCAAGTTTTCTAACACAAAACTGAATGAAAAACAAATTTCTATAAAATAAATAAAACTCAATGTAAAAAATCACATGTTTATTTATAGCAATTAATGTTCTCCATCGATATTATGTATATTGCTTATATGTAAATTTAAATTGTATTTTCTATGTGATCTGTGTAAACAGTAGGGACACCGGAATTTTGGCTCTTTTCCACATTCATTTTTAAGATGAACACTTAAATTGCGCTTGTACTTGTAAAGCTTATTGCATCTTGGACAACCATACATTACTTCAAAACCTAAAAAATCACATTGCTGAAAACAAATTAACACTAATCATTACCTCAAAACATTACATAACATGTCGGGAAAAAGTAAAATAAGAAACAGATTATAATAAAAACATTTATTCTATTACTGAGTGCTGTTTTCTAAGATGGCTTCTCATGTTGAATCGATGTTTGAAAAACCGATGACACAACGGACATTTAAATCTTCCACTTTTATTACATTCATTTCGTAAATGGCGTCGAAGAGAATCAGGTCTGAGGTAGACTTTGTCGCATTGAGGACAGAAGTGGTAACCTACAAGGAAAATAAATACTAACTATCATCTTGTTCTTTTTTTTAACCAAAGGCATTCAAAACTCACAAATAATTATTCACGAAAATTTATTTAAAAAAAAAGAACATTCTCAAAAATTAAACTACAATACTGAAATTCAACCTAAATTAAAAAAATCAGTCTCAAAAAGTTGTACAGAGTTGCATTGTCAGTTCAATTACTTTGGTGAAAGTTTTAAAGTATCAGCAGGCAAAGACGCTTGAATGGAATTTTGTAAATGTCTGGACTTCTCGTGAACTTTCAAGTCGTACTTGTGCTTAAATCGTCTAGGACAAAAGCTACAAGCATACATGGGCTCCTTCCCACACTCAAAACGAATATGACGTGTCAAAGAATGTTTCAGCCGATAAGTTTTGGTGCATTTGGTACACATAAAAAGCTCGCTCAAAGCCGAAACATCCATGTTGTCCCATAACTGATGCTTTTTCGGCTTTCTTATTTTTCTATTTTCCTGATCTGATAAATAACCATCTGAAATCACAACAACAATAACGCAAACGAAAATAAAAGAAAAGCTACAACTCCAACCATGCACAAAACTAAAAACAAACTACAACTAAAACATATGTATATAAATACTGTCTACCATTAAATTTAAGGCTAGAATCATCTTTATTCAAATAAAAGCTTTAATGTCAATACAACAAATAATATTAATTAAGTCCGATGTATAGACTTTATGTGATTTTGTACTTCCGCTATGCTGGCATTAACAAACGGGCAAGAAGTACATCCAAATTTAACCTTCGGTGGTAGTTTCTTGCATTGGGAGAGATGTTCAGAATGTTTAGCTCTTTCGTATAAAAGTTCGCAATGCTGACAACGCAAAGTATCAACAGGAAATTTTATTAACGAAATGTCTCTTTCACAGGCAAATGTTTTTTTCAAAGGTGGAGGCATCGTCTCCTGACTCATCGCCAGAAACCGTTTCATTCTTTCCACAGACAATTTTTGGATTTTCGGAAATTTCTTCTTTTCTTTAGAGGCCGATTCTTCAACCTTTTCCACCTTTACTTCTTTCAGATTGATTTCTTCAATTAGAATTTTCTTAAGTTTTGGTTGGTCCTTCTTTCCAAACAGAATATGAGGACTTAGTTCCTTTTTTATGTTAGCTACTATGGTGTCATTTTTCAAGTCCTCAACCGCCAAAATTTTAATGTAAGGTTTAGTTGCTCCTGTTGAGATTTTGGCTTGACCTAGAAGACAAATATTTCAGAATTATGCCAAAAAACAATGTAAAAAAACAGCAAACAGAAGATTAAAGTTTTCTTTGTTTATTTAAGATCACATACAGTAAATTCAGTTTATAAGTTCTGTTCTATGTCTTCTAGACATATGTGATATAAGGTGAACCTTTTGGAAGCCTGCGTAGGTACAGTAAGGACAAGAAAATGATCTTTCCTTCCTGCAATAATAGCGAACATGTCTGAATAAATTTGAACGATGTTGGTACGACTTCCCACAATAGCTGCACTGATAGTCGATTTTCCCATCTAAAATAAAAACAATCAGTCAAATTCAGACAAAAAAAAAGAAAGACCAAATATACCTGCAGATGGTTTTCTGAACATGGCACTAAAGCAGTAGTATTGCAATAAAATATAGACAGATATTATAAACAGAGAAAACTGTAATACTTCATTTAATGAAATATTTAAATCACAGTCGTAAAGCTGAAACAAAATTAAGGACGAAAATGTTTTATTTAAATTCTTTATTGTAGTATCTACCGCTACCTAAAAGCATGTATAAGTAAAAATAAAACAAACAAAAAAGCAAAAAAGTTGAATAGGAAAATTAACAATTCTGGTTTAAAGACAAAATTATTGATATGTGACAGTGTAAAGGAACTATAAACTATTACAATAATGGTAAAAAAATCACATTTTTCTGTTGAGTATTATAGTAAAAAATTGGCTTGGGCATATTTTTGTGTAGTACGTCTTCTGGAAAATATATCCCATCACCTTTCATACGCATAAAATTAAATAAATTTACTTACAAACTAAACACCTAACAATAATAAAGCATGTTTTAAATGGAAATATACATTTTTTTTTCTCAATTATATATTTTTATAATACAAGCTGCCTTAAAATAAAAAGCAAAATTGATATGACCTTATCATCGGCTTAAAATGCATAATTTAACCGATATAAAATAGTTTAAAGCGGAAAAGAAAAACCGGATTGTCAAATAGGAATAAAATAGAATATTTTACAAGCTGATCAAATCTCGGTCAATTTTCCTTGCACCTGGCTAACACAATAATTAAAAAAAATAATGCAAAAGCACCTAACTAAACAAATAACCTTAAAAGCAAAATACACAAAAATAACAACTTGATCGTATTATATATAAAAATATTTTCACAAAATTGTGTAAAAAAGATAAAGGTAACTTATATCTAGAGATACACTTCAAGGAACATTTAACTATGTGAGGCACTTCATTTAGGTAAACTATTCACATAAAAATATCATCGTAAAGAGCATATTTTATCATTTTTATCACATATAAATATTCTTTTCACAAAATAATTACAAAATACTAAAAAACGCCAAAATATCATCGAAAATTCATAGGAACGGTAAAACGTAATCCAAAAAAGTGATGTGTAACAGCGCAGTCTTGAATATTGTCGGATTTTTCAAGTATCACAAAATGTTTCCACCTAATCGCAATTGTAGCGTCAGGGAATAAGGCAGCATAGTGAAAGTTTAATTACTGTTATTACGTTGATATAGGAACGTGTTGAGGAGTATTCTAGTTAACAAAATAACATGGCGCGTATGTTTATGGAGTAACTGGGGTTTGAGTCGATGAGTTACTTTTTAAGTCATTCAGCGTCTCCGCTCTCACTTTTAACAGCAATTTCGGTTTTAACCGAAGAGTAATCGACCTCTCTGTGCATGCGTTCCATGTGCCTCGCCATGTGCATCTTCTGCTTGGCTTTATAGACGCAATAAGGGCACTTGAACTGCGGCTCTTTTCCGCACTCCCACTTTTGATGATTACGTAAAGAACTTTTCAATTTATATATCCTACCGCAAACTGAGCAATCAAAACCGGTACCATCTAAACTAGTTCGATTCCTAGACTTAGGAGATGAGGTGCTTAAATCGAGAGAAGACCGATTTACCGATTGAATCATCGACTTTTTCATGCTTTCACGCATTAGCATCATAGGTAGGGCAAGATGCGATGGCCAGCGCTCCCAAGGACGAGAAACACGCAAATCTTGTGCTGAAAAAGAAAAAAATGTTAGGACAAAACAATTAAAACACAGAGAAACGTGAAAATTATATACAAAAGATACGAGTTATATGGTGGTGTAAGGATCCAAGAGGAAAAGAAACAAAAATAATTTGAAACTTTGTATTTAAAAAGCTCATACCGCCACCATATACAAGGCCTTTACAAAAAATATAATACTATTATTGGGTGTGATGTAAAAATATTAGACTAGCTGACATATCCGATTGGAATCTGTTCAAAACCTTCGCACTAGTGGTACAAATTAAGAAAAAAATTAAAACAAAACTACGATGAATACTTAACTTACACGAAAATAACTAAACTCGAAGCCCTAAACAAGCAACTCGGCACAATACACTAAATAGGTAAATGGTTAAATAAACAAAAAATAAATTATAAGCTAAATATAAAATAAATGTTACGTCATAAAATATCATGACTTAGTGATAACTCCCTTCAAACCCAAAAGAAAAAACTTGGCAGTGCAAAATTCAATCTATTCCGTTTTTATTATCTTAAGGTCAGGATTGTTCTCTTCCAAAATCCCTATTTTGTCTTTATGAGCTCTGGTAATATGCCGGATTCTATGAGCTTTCCTTTTGCACTTCTGTGGACAGAATGGACACTGAAACTGTGGCTCTTTACCACATTCATAAGTCAAATGTCGTTGAAGCGAATCCTTGCGAATGTAACTGCGCCCACACTGTACGCACGCAAAATGTCCGCGAATTCTATTGCTAGAAGGTGTAGATTTGCGTTTTGGCTTTTTGTCATCGTCTGACCACATAAACCACGGATTTAGCAAATTCACAGCCTGTTCCTCTTCTTTCAACTCGATCTTCACCGGAAGGCCTGTAAAATAAAAATGTTAGATTATGACATCAAATCTCACTTATCCTAACTATTTACTTTTAGTCCCTACAACTGTTATTGGTTAGAAACTCAAACTGTTACAGAAAAACAACAAATGTTCAATTAAAATGCTTTATTTCTATCATACAATCATATTGTCTCTCTTTGAATGTATCTGGCTACTTCTGAGCCATTTACAACTATGTCGTGCTTCATACACAAGTGTTTTCTCAATACTTGCGAATATTTGGTTGAAAAAGAGCAGCTTCGACAGAAGAAAATAGGATCTTTGTTACATGTATACTTGCGGTGGTTATACAAAGATGCTTGATACTTATATTCCTTACCACATAAGTTACACCTATAAACTGAAAAAAAAAAACAATATATTATAAGTTACTGAGCAGAAGATATAATAAAAATAAATAGGTATAAAAAAATCCTCTTTTTTGTTAAATATTTATTGGAAAACGTTACAATTATGTTTATTTGCCACATGTCTTTGTAGAACATGCTTATACTTAAATTCCGCAGTGCAAAGGTGACATCTAAATAAAGGTCTCTTCCCACATTCCACTTTTATATGTCGAAATAAATTTGTTCGTCTTGTGTACTTCCTACCACAATTTAAGCAAGGAAACCACTGACCCTCTACAATAAAAAGAGTATTATAAACGAATATACACAAAAATAGTAGTCATACAGTTAATACTTACAGAAACTACTAGGTACGATACTACGTGCATACTTTTAATAAGCAAATCTGATTTTTTTTAATATTGCATATATTAGTTTTATTTAGAAAATTAAATTATAGATAATTTTCTTTTTACATATTAAATTTCTAGCATTTTTGAATCAATCTCACTGGTTGACAAACGATGGACCATCCGAATATGTTGTAGAAGATTGCTTTTAAGATGCGTCCTTTTCGAACACCATGGACACATATACCTTGGTTCTTTTTGACATTCATATTTAATGTGCCTCCTCAATGAACTATTAGTACAATAAGTTTTACCACATTGTAGACAAGCAACTCTGTTTTTAAGTCCTAGAACAAAATCTTAGATTAAATCTATTCTTTTCCTAACAACAGTCATGTGACCCATAACCCACGAAACGCAAAAAAAAACAGATATTGACACAAATTTATTTATTCTGTTAATTGATTTACAAAAACAGTGTTTCTACAAAAATAGAGGAAGTGGTGTTACATAAATGCAAAATTAAATTAAATCTAGAATGGCAGTTTGACATTAAACTAGTCTTAAACTAAGTCAGGTCTGACCCCTAGATCTACTTTTCTTTGGAAGCAGTAGAGATTGTCAACGAATAATAACAAGCTTACATCGGACTCTACTGTAGTCTACAAGCTATTCGCAATATCAACTTATGTAAATAATAAGTGATGTTTATTCTTTGCGTGTTTTTTAATTTCATTTCTCCGATAATTCTTGTATTCGCAGTAAGGGCATGAATATTGCGGTTCTTTGCCACATTCTGAATTTACATGACGTGCCAAATTTTTTCTAGCGTTGTAGACTTTCTGACAATTAGGACAAATATAACCTTTTGGCGTCCAACAATCAGCAAAAGGTAAAGTATCGCGAGTCGGTTTTTTTGCTTTTTCGACAGGTTCAAGAGGTTCAGGCGGTTTAAGACTTTCTTCAACAACTGTTTCTGTAACTGATATTAAAGCATCAGCTTCTGGAAGAAGTGATTCGTTGGTACGATCTTCAGGGTATATGACATGAATGGTCCATGATGGTATTTCTTCAACTAAAGTTTCTTGAAAATCTAGAGAGTTTGTTAACAGCGAAGTGTCCTCGATTAACCCTGCAAGTTTTATGGTTAAAAAATATACTTTTTAATAACAACACTAACAGCGATAACCACAAGGAATTTTACAATGAAACAAAAAAATTGGTGAATCCAGTTTAATGATGTGATGTTAACTAGCTTACATAAACGACTAGTACAAAACCTTTGGAAATAAAGTAATAATATGGCACAAAAAATATACAATGAGCTAAGTTTACACAGTTTGATAGACAGAAACATGATTTTTGACATGTGAAGCAAGAATGTAAGCTCTACGAGCCCTGTATGGACAATGTGGACACTGTAAAACAGGCTCAAGTCCACATTCCTGTCTTAAATGTCGACTTAAAGTTTTCTTGTGATGATAAATTTTACAACATCTCGGACATTTAAACTGAGAATAATGAAATAAAGGATATTTCATATTTCTACCCCATTTCCGTTCTTCACCTAAAACATTTAAATAAAGTTAAAAACATCGTCTCTTCAACAGCATTTCAACACTACAAGTTGAACTCACAAGCAAACCGTAATAATGCAAGCTGTTACTAAATACTTAATTTATTTTTATGACTAGATTAAAGATACATTTCTTACAATTAAGAATAACTTGTAGTTTTATTAAGTAAACTTGAGTGGATGGACCTTATGTGACTTAAAAGTCTGTGTTTGTGGGTAAATAGCTGTCCACATACTTGACACTTGTTGGTTGGAACTTTACCACATTCCAATCTTAAATGCCTCGAAAGTGTATATTTTCCTCGATATACTTTAGGACAATTGGGACAAGGAAAAATCAATTTACTGTCTATAGATAAATCAAGCTTCTTCAAATCCTCTGGATCTGAAGTCAAATATCTTGAAAAGTGGTATATAGAACCTGCAAGCATTGTCTAGTCAATATCTAGGTGATATTCTTAATAATAAAACAATTTTAAAATACATTAAAATTTATTTATGCTTTGTTCTAACATGTCTTATTAAATCAAAATTATGTTTAAATCTTGATTTACATAACTCACATTGAAATTCTGGATACTTTCCACATTCGTACCTTTGATGACGTTTTAAGGTGTAGATTTGACGATAATAACGGCCGCACTCACAAAAGTACAGTTCTAAAACAATAAACAAAATTACTCTTCTTATTTTAATATAATCGATCTTAAATATTTCGAAAAGCGGCTTAAACCAACAAAAATAATGTTTTCATTTAGATATATGACTTTATTACATATGACAATTACAATTAGGTACATTGTTTAGAGCTAATCTACTAGAACATTTTTTTTCAGACTTAAGTAAATAGACGAGTGTATACAGCCAATGCCTTAAAACAAATACTGAAAAACTGATAGAACATGGAAAGATCTCCGACTGCGAAAATGTTTCTTTCCAATTTCGAATCAACTAAATATTAACTTGGTTTAATATCATTTATAAATACTAAACAAATAAAGAAATAAATGGCACTGCATATGACTAAAAAAAATGACTAGATTCGGTACTATAAAGGATATTTTTATCTGGTACTTCACTTTTCGCACTTAAATAATACTACAAAATCATTCACTCCGTAATGCTATAGACTAGACATAATTATCTTAAATACAAGCCCAAAGCAGCTTTATATTTACGTAAATACATAAATAATCGATGTACCAGATAAAACACAATTTACTTAAATCCCTATAATAAAGGTACTGAAATTATGTAAAAACGAGGCACATGGCACTGGAATGACATGACTAGAACGTTTCTACTTAATAGATTTTTGCCTTTTTCTCAGTTTTTGTATGAAAATTTCGTGCGTGAGTCGCATGTGCTTTAAAAGTATATAGCCATGTTTGAATTTTTTCGAGCATAGTTGACAAGTAAAAGAAGGGCTTTGTCCGCAGTCAAAGCGTAAATGACGTCCAAGAGTTTTCTTTTGTAAGTATGTTTTTCTGCATCTTGCACAACCATACCTTACACCGTGGTTGTACACTTTCAAATTTCTGTAGTCATCGAAATTAGATGCATAAAATATGATTCCTGTAACATAAAATACACGGGGTTAATGGATCAATAAGGCGTGACAACTACAACACTGAACTAGCAGTAACTCAACTCGAAGGGTTTCACTACTTAAGCTTCAAATAAACAAAAAAGGCCAACCTAAAAACAAAAACAAGCATAAAAACTCAAAACAAAGATCAAACAAAGCCAAACACATTAACTACTCAACAAAGGGGAGGTGAAATGAATGACCCACTGCTTGTATAATTTATAGTTCGTATATTGAAGACAGATTTTAATGCACAGAGGAGCAC